TCTTTTGGAAAATAAACTTCTAAATTTTTCATCGTCAAGGGGAAGTCTCACAGAAAGTGTTAAAATGCATAGAATTGAATGAGAAGACAGCACAACGTATCAAAATATATGAGACACAGGTAAAATAGTGGTGGGGAGGAAATTTATAGCACTAAATGCTTGTATTAGAAAAGAGAAAAGGTATAAAATCAATAATTTAAGTTTCTTTGAAAAAACTAAGAAAAGCAAAATAAACCTACATGAAACAGAAGAAAGAAAATAAAGAACAGAAATTAGTGAAATTGAAAGCAGGAGAACTATTAACAGGAGAATGACATAACAAAATCTAGTTCTTTGAAAAATATAAAACTGATAAACCTCTAGCAAGACTGATGATGAGAGAAGACCCAGGTTACTGATATCAGGATGAAATAGGATATTCCTGCAGTTCCTGTAGCTATAAAAGGATAATAAAGAATTACTGCCAGCAACTCTATGCTCATACATTTGACAATTTGAAGAACTAGAACAATTTCTCAGAAAGCACAAACTACCAAAATTCAAAGAAGATGAAAAGGAACCTGAATAGTTCTATAACCATTTTTTTAAGTGAATTTGTAGTATCAGTCTCCTGAAAAAGAAATCTCCAGGCCCAGATGGTTTTACTGGAGAATTCTATCAAACATTTAAATAAGAATTGACACTATTTTCATACAGAGGTCTTTCAGAAAACAGAGGGAATGCTTCCCAGTTCATTTTATGAGGCAAGTATTATTCTGCTACTAAACCCAGAAAAAGACACTACGAAGTATATATATATGTGTATATATATATATATGTATATATATATACACATATATATATATATATAATATATAGACTATTATCTCTCATGAAATTAGATGCAAAAATCCTCAAAAAATTTTACCCATCGAATCCAGCCATGTATCTTAAAAAAATTACACACCAGGTCTAAGTGGGATTTAATCCAGGTATGTTTCAACATTTGAAAGCCAGTCGATGCAATTCATCATATCAACAAATTAAAGAAGAAAAATCATAGGATTTTGTCAATTGATGCAGATGAGCATTTATTAACAAAATTCAACACCCATTTATGATAAAAACTCAGCAACTAGAAATAAGGAATTTCCTTAGTTTGATCAAGATAACCTACACAAAACCTACAATAGCATCATTCTTAACAGTGAATGATTTCCTTTCAAGATCAGGAACAAGGCCAGGACTTATTCAACATAACACTGGAAGCTCCAGCCACTGCAACAAAAAAAGGTATGGAAAATAGAGAGGAAAAAATTAAATTGTCCTTATTTTCAGATAGTCTGCATAGAAAATCTCAAAGAGATGACAGAAACAAACTTCAGGTGCCTGGGTGGCTGAGTTGGTTGAGCATCTGATTCTTGGCTTTGGCTCAGGCTTGTGCTCGCTCTAAAATAAATAAATAAATCTTAAACAACAACAACAATGACAACAAAAACCCTCATAGAACCAGCACGTGAATTCAGTAAGGTTGTAGGGTATAAGATCAACATACATAAATAAGTTAACATTTTTATGTACTAAGAGTGAACATGTTGAAACTGAAATTAAGACACATCCAATTTGCAGTTAATGCTCCAAAATGAAATCCTTAGGTATAATTGTAACAAAACATATGTAGAATCAGTATGCTGAGAATCATAAAATACATAATTATAAAATACTGATGAAGGAACTTAAAGACTAGTCAAACATACCATGTTGATGGGTTGAAAGACTTGTCATAATAAAGATGTCCCTAATTATAAGTTTAATGGAATTCCTGTAAAAATTCCAGCAGTTTTTTTTATACACAGATAACAAAGTTATTATAAAATTCATATGGGAAGGCATAGGCCCTAGAATAACTAAAACCATCTGAAAAAGAAGAATAAAGTGGAACTAATCATGCTGCCTGATATTAAAGCCTATTTCATAGCTACCATAATCAAGAGAGTGTGGTATGGGTGGAGAGATAGATACCTAGGATGGAAAACCAGAAAAGACCCACACCAATATGGCCAATTGATTTTTAACAGAGGAATCAAAGGAATTCAATGGAGGAAAGATAATCTTTTCAACAAATGTTGGAACAACTGGACATTCATAGGCAAAACCATGAACCTCAATGTAAACCTCATAGAAATTCAGTCCAAGTGGATCATGGACTTAAATGTAAAATGTAAAACTATCAAACTTTTTAAAACTACTGGAGAAAAATCTTTGGGATCTAAGGCTGGCCAAAAACATGATCCCTAAAAGAAAAAAAGTTAGACTTCATCACACAAGGGTATAAACACAAGAGAAAATATTTGCAACCCACATATCCAGCAAAGGACTAATATCTGGAGCATAAAAACAAAACAAAACAAAACAAAACTTCTCGGGGTCCTGCCTGGCTCAGTTGGTAGAACATGTGACTCTTAATCTCAAGGTCATGAGTTTAGGCCCCATGTTGGGCAGGGAGCCTACTTTTTTAAAAATTAAAAAAACCCTCAAAATCCTAACAGTTAAAAACCAAACAATCCAGCTAGAAAATGGGCAAATGACAAAAACTGTCACTTCAGCAAATAAAGATGCCAGATAAGCACACATGAAAAGATGTTCAATATCACCTGTTAGGAATATGTAATTTTAAACACATAATGAAATATAGGGGTGCCGGGGTGGCTCAGTGGGTTAAGCCTCTGCCTTTGGCTCAGGTCATGATCTTGGGGTCCTGGGATCGAGCCCTACATTAGGCTCTTCTGCTCAGCGGGGAGCCTGCTTCTCCCTCTCTCTCTGCCTGCCTCTCTGCCTACTTGTGATCTCTCTCTGTCCAATAAATAAATAAATAAAGTCTTAAAAAAATAAACACATAATGAAATATCAAAGTGGCTAAAATAAAAAATAATGACAACACCAAGTTTTGGCAGACTTGGAGAAATTAGATCACTCAAATATTACCAGTGGAAATGTAAAATTGTGTAACAATTTTGGAAAAACAGTTTGGCAGTGTCTTAAAAACTAAACATGCAAAAAATAAAATTAAAAAAAAAACCAAAAAACTAAACATGCAACTACCATACAACCCGGCAATTGCAATTCTTAGGCATACATCCCAGTGATATGAAAATTTATTTTCCTACAAAAACCTGTACATAGTGTTAACAGCAACTTTATTTATAGTAACCAAAATTTGGAAACAATCCAGATTTCCTTTGACAGGTTAAACAAACTGTGATACATCTATACCATGGATACTACAGAGCAATAAAAAGGAACAAGTTATTAATAAATGAAACAACTTGGATGAATTTCTGGGAATTATGCCAGGTGAAAAAAGCCAATTCCAAAAGGTTATACCCTATAGGATTCCTTTTATATAACATTCTTCAAATGTCAGAATTACAGAAATGGAGAACAGATTAGTGGTGGGGGGGCAGGTTATAGTAATAAAAAAAGTATCAGGAAGGATCTTTATGGTGAAGAGAATGTCCTCTATTTTGACTGTATCAATGTCAATATCCTGGATAATATTGTACTACAGTTTTTAAGATGTTACCTTTAGGGAAAACTGGGTGAAGGATACACAGGGTCACTCTGTACTATTTCTTACAACTGAATATGAATCAACAATGATTTTAAGATGAAAATTGAAAATATAAGAAGTGGCAAATCATTTGGAAAATGGTTTGGCAGTTTCAATGAAGTTAAAAGCTAACCTATCCTATGACCTAGCCATTCTAGTTCTAGTTCATTCTAGTTCTGTGTAAATATCCAGGAATAATGAGTACATTTGTCCATAAAAATATTTGAATAAGAATGTTCATAGTAGCTTTATTCGTAACAGCTGAAATTTGGAAACAGTCCAGATGCCCATATGGAGGAGAATGGATAAACAAGTTGTGGTATATTCATACAATGGAATACTTCTTATAAAAAAAAAAAAAGAACTGATACACACAAAATACGGATAAATCTCACAAACATGTTAAGCCATGGGAATCAGATACAAAAGAGTACATACTATATGATTACATTCACAGGAAGCTCAAGAACAGGCAAACTCCTTGATTACGGTAGAAGGTAGAATACTGTGTACTGGTAGCAGGGGAATGGTGTCAACTGGAAACGAGCTGGAGGAAATTTCTGGAATGACAGAAATGTGGCTACACAGGTATACACAAAATGTTAAAACTCATTGAGCTCCACACTTAAGGTTTATGCATTCTATGTTAATTATACCTTAAATAAAGTACTGTGGAAGAAATCTCTGTTCATGGCGGGGGAAGACATGTCAACTGATTCCACTGTGTACTTTATTTGAATCCTCTCTTAGACAAGCTATAGAAAAACCTACTTACGGCACTTAGGAGAAATTGAAAAGATGAGTTTCTAATTGATAACATTAGGGAGTTGTGAAGTTTCTAGGTATAAAATAATAATCACTGTTAAAGAGTTTTTGTCATTTCGAGAGATATACTGAAATAAGTGATATATCTAGGATTTGCTTCACAATAAAACAGATGAGGAGTGGGAGGATATAGATAAAACAAGACTGGCCATGCATTGATTTGTTTAACCTGCATGGCTGGATTATCATCTGTTTTTTTACTCCATGATAAAAAGGTAAAGTTTTAAAATATGAATAGAAGATACACATGGGTAGCTTTATTATTGCCAGTAGAACAGAAAAATCATCTTCCGAGATAGCTCAAGGGCTGATGGGGACAGTTAATGCCTCAAAGAGAATCATGGCTTGCCTGCACCAGCTGTCTTCATCAAGGAGTGAGGATCTCCAAGGGTAGAAACCCACCCTGTACCCAGTGGACACTGAGTGTAGAGCTAACTTATATTTGAGTTCTTTCAATTAAAATGTGTTTATGTTAGCACATATAGACACACTGTGGCTCCATAAGTTGTCCACCTACTTTAACAAATTGAAGCACTGGGATCAATTACTTTTTTCAACCTTCATGTGCTCTCCTGTTTTCTCTAAGGACCTGATGTTATTTTATGAGGATGATCCAAAGCCACTTTTGCCGACAATTCCTCCTTCCATTATCTCGTCAACTAAATGGCTATCAGAAGGACCAGCAGACGTTTGTAACCTCTGGGACGCAGGTAAATTGGTTAAAAGATTAGAAAGGTGACTCAGAAACATGAATAAGAAGCATTGGACAGGAATTGCTTTTCATCAGATTTTATTTTGTGAAATACAGCAGCAATGGCCTTAATTTAACTTCGATAATGAGGGATGAGACTAGCATGGATGAATTCAACCCACACATGATCCTGTAATCTTAATTAACATTTGTTTCAGTGGGGGTTTAGTCCCTCTATTTTGCTTTTTTCCTTTTTTATTGTGTCGAAAATGATTAACTGCAAACCTCAAATCTCTTATGAATGGTTTTAAATGCAGAAAAATTAGAGTTCCTTTTTTCATTTGTGTTAACTTCGCTTTGATAAAGAGTTTAAATTGTGACATTTTTCATAAGCAAGCATTGGACCAAAATGTGAAAAGCAAGATGCATGGCATCCCACAAATTGGCTAATCACCTCTTGAATAATTAGCATTAGAGAAAGTATGGTATAAAATGATACAAACTGCCCTCCAATAAATGACATACCCATTTCCACCTGGGCTTGGCTGCTACTCGGGCTCTGATTGATTCACACTGGAGCCACTCCGTACTGTCCCTGTTCTTCAGAAACTCAATTTTTAATACATCCTTCCTCTTGCTTTTCTCAAAATATAGGACTCAGGACCCTCTGCCAAGATGAGAATGAAACATTCTCATTAGTATCTTTCATCCCTTCATTTATCTATGCTTTTCTATTCAGTCAGGCATCCTTTCCCTCACTGCAGAGGTGGCTCCTTATGTTTCGAGTTTCATCTGCTCCCTCATCTTTAGGCCACGTGCTGTGATTTCCTCCTCCTATAGATCCCCAATATCCAAAATATAAGAACTGTAGTCGATTAGAATAGATTTCTTTTACGGGTTCACGTTTATATAATTTTCTTATAAAACTCGTCATGAGAATGATGAGGAGGATATTTCAATAAACACGGAACACGGAGTTGTGGGCTATGGTGATATTTGTAGTACAAGGATGGTATAATTACTCGCATGGATAATTCGTTATAAGTGCTTACCATTTTCAAGACAGCTTGCTCCGTATTCTTAGAATACGCTTTATGTCAACTGATCTAGATCCAGAAGCTTGAAAGAAGAATGGTAAGGAAAACGTTTTTTGTGATCTAATGTCCCCTCATAGTCCCCCACCCCCAACATTTTAAAAATAGGCTTCATTTTTTAAAGCAGTTTTAACTTCACAGTAAAATTGAGTGGAAGGTACAGAAATTTCCCCACATACGCCTGCCTCCAGACAAGAACAACCTTACATCTGCTGCAGTCAGTGAACCTATGTTAACGCTTTCATTGCCCAAAGACCATGGTTTCCATTAAGGATCATTCTTCGTGTTGTGTGTTCTGTGGGTTTGGACGAGTGTCTGAAGACATGTATCCACCACTATAGTATCATACAGACTAGTTCACGGCCCTGCCAGACTCCCGGTGCTCTGCCTTCCGTTCCTCCCTTCCTCCTAACCCCTGGCTGCCGCTGATATTTTAACTGTCTCCATAGTTTTGCCTCCTCCAGGAAGTCCTATAGCTGAGCTCACACAGGATGTGGCCTTTTCAGACTGACTTCTTTTATTCAGCAGAGCGCATTGAAGGCTCCACCATGTCTTTCATGGCCTGGTAGCCCCTTCCTTTTTAGTGCCGAATGGGATATACCAGGGTATTTACCCATTCGCCGGCAGAAGAACATCTCAGCTGTGTCTAAGTTTGGGCACATTTAAATGAAGCTGCTGTGAATATCCGAGGGCACATTCTCGTGTGGAAATAAGTTTCCCTGCCAACAGTGTAATACAAGTGCAATGGCATGTAAATGAGCCTAAGAAGCAGCCCTAAAGAGGAGAAAAGTCACAAAACATACTGAGTGAAGGATAATTCCACCATGTTCCTCGGTTGGAACTCATCTTGATTGGAGGAGTTTTCCTACTCTTGAGGCTTCCTTTTCTCCCACTGTTCCTTCACACCAATCTTAGAGGTATCTTGATAAAGTGCAGGTCTAAGCATTTCACTTCCCAGCTTAAAAACTTTCCACAGTTTTCCACGCCAATAGGATGTCTAGTTTTTTCACGCTGTCATAGGAGACTTTTCATGGCCTGGTCCCCGCCAACATTTGTGACCTCATCACCCAGTACTGCCAACATTCGCGTTGCTCTGCAACGTGCTGTTACTTGTGTAGTTTCTTCTCCTTAGAAAGTCTTTGTTCCAGTTACTTCAGCTGTGTAACACATTGCTCTCAAACTTTGTGGCATAAAATAACCATTTATTCTGCTCATGGATTCTCTGGGTCAGGAATTAGGACAGGGCACAGTGGGGATGACTTTTCTCTGCCCCATGACGTATGTTTGGGCCTTAGCCCGAGAACACAAAGCCTGGGGACGGGAATCATCTGAAGGCGCATTCACTCATGTGTCTCGTAGTTGGTGCCCACTATCGGCTGGGGGCCTCAGTTTCTCTCCACATGAGCCTCTTCATGTGGTCTCTCCACATAGGCTAGTTTGGGCTTTGTCACAGCATGGTGGCTGGGTTCCAAGGGTGAGCATCCGGTAAAAGAAAGGACCGGGCAGAAGCTGAATAATCTCAAAAATCGTGCTGTGATACTTCCTTCCCATTCAGTTCATAACGCAATCATATAATCTCGCCCAAGTTCAAGGGGAGGGAATGTAGACCCCCCACCCCTCTATGGACAAGTGTCAATGTCATATTGAAAGAAAAGCATACAGATTGATGTGTGTGTTAGTACAGTCATCTTTGGAAAATACAATCTGCCACAGTCCTCCACAAAGTTATGGATGCTTGACAAAATTCTATTTAAACAGCAAGGCCCAGCTCAAATGTCACTATTGCTATAAAATCTTCTCTACATAACCAGTTTTTCCTTTCACTGTGTTCCAATGAAACTTTGCCTATAACATTAGATATGAATTTATAGTTGTGTATCATTTTATAAGTTTTATCTATTTTTAATTAGATAAGTAATAAGTGAATATACTCTTATTTTTTGAAATTCAAACAATATAGAGTCAAAAATCCTCCTCGACTGTCCCTCACCCTAACACAGTTCCCTCCCCAGAGTTAACTGTTATTATCAATTTGTTGGTTACTCTTCAGGTCTTTTTTTGTGCATTTCTATACATACCTGTACCTTTGAAAGTATGGAGAACTGACTTTATTTTGATTTGGAATTTTCTGTATTTTTCTGGAACTTTTTAAAGCAATATCACTTGGCAATCCTTCAGTGTATGTCGATATGAGATTTACCTATATATTTTTTAACTCCTACATTGCCTGGATATTATAGTTTATTTCCCTGCTGATAGTTGGTGTTTTATATTTTTCACTATTACAAGTGATGGTTCAGTGAATAGCTCTGTGCACATATGTGGGTGTTTCTTTAGGGAGGATTCCTAGAAATGGAATCCCTGGGTCATAACTAAAATTTTCATTTTTTAGTGAATACTGCCAAATAGCCCCTCAAAATATCAGTACCAATTTACACTGGATTGCAGTTTATAAGAGTACTTATTCACTCATACCCTCACTGGCACTTGATATTTTTCAAGTCTTACATTTTTATCACTTGGAAAAGGTTGCATTGCGTGGTAGGTATAATTTGCATATCTCCATGTATTTCCTCGTCTGTGCATTGCCTGCTTTTATCCTTAATCTGTTTTTCTTTTGGATTGTGCCTTGTGTTTATTTAAATTAAATGGCTGTAACGTTTTTATATATGTTGTTAACCTTAAGAATAAAAACTGCCGGTTATTTTACCAGCAAAAGATGGGGTTATTTGGGAATAAAAGAATTGCAATCCAGGATAAACAAGTGGTGGCCAAACAAAGGCAAATCCAAGGAACAAGGGCGAGGTACACTTTTTTAAGGAGAAAATGGGTAGTTGGGAAGGCGGTTATAAGCTAAACGTCCACTGGGGTAAACTGAGAGTTCCAAGTGTAGGGGCTTCTCATTGGCTGAGCTGCCGCTGCAGGGGAGGGGGTTAAGGAAAGCGACTCTTCCTCCACCTAAATGGTAGAGTCATGTGCACGTGCAAGGTCAACTCCGGCTCTTCCTGCAGCACCTGCAATGGACTGGAGTGTAGGGCGTGAGAGCTCCCCTGGGGAGACTCCAGACTCCCGTTTTAGTGAGGGTTCTCCATTACTAACTTCCACTTACTAATCCTTTCTGTGACTTATGTTGCAAATATCATCTTCTAGGCTAGGGACTGTTTTTCAGATTTCTTTAAAGAAGATTTTTGTTTTCTTGTTTTTGTAGAAGTTTTGTTTTATGTAGTCATGTGTATTATTATTTCCTTCCAGAGCTTTTGTTTTTTATATTTTGGTAAATTTATTTTATATTGAAGTATAATTAACATACACTGTTACATAAGTTTCAGGTGTGGAACATAATGATCCAGCGATTCAGTACACTACCCAGTAGTGCTCACCACGATAAGTGTAGTCACCATCTGTCACCGGACAACATTATTACAGTCGTATTGACTCTATTTCCTGTGCTGTACTTCTCATCTCTGTGACTGACTTACTTTATAACTAGAGGTTTGTACCTCTCAATTCTCTTTATCTATTCCATCCCCCTCCCCACCACCCCTCTGGAAGCCACCGGTTGGTTTTTTGTATTTAAGAGTCTGTTTTATTGTTTGTCTCTGTTTCTTTGTTTGTTCCTTTGTTTCATTTCTTAGATTCCCCATATGAGTTAAATCATATGGTATTTGTCTTTTTTTTGGTCTAACTTTCCCAAGAAGACAAACAGATGGCCAACAGACACATGAAAAGATGCTCAGTATCAGTAACCATCAGAGAAATGCAAATGGAAATCACAACGAGATACCCCTTCACACCTGTCAGATTGGCTAGAATAAAAAGGACAAGAAATAACAAGTGTTGGCAAGGATGTGGAGAAAAAGGAATCTGTGTGCACTGTTGGTGAGAATGTAAATTGGTGCAGCCACTGGAAAACAACATG